CCTAATTCCTATGAGGCAATTGAAATTGAAAAGCCCGAAAAGAAATTCTGAGCGTGCTTGCTACGCCGCGCAAAAACTTCATGTAGATCCCTATCTTTCTCAACTTTGACATGAAAACTCTCACAAATATGAGGGCATTGCTGAAGGTTGAGCAAAACACAGGCTCAAAGAATTATCCGACGTAAAAACAAGAACCATGGATACCCCACCAGAGACGAAGCAGATTAAAAAGGACAAAGCCAAAAACATGGTGTACAGCCCCTTCAGAAACAAAAATATTGCAAGGGGCACAGAAAACCGCACAATCTCGTAAGCTCGCATCATTTGATCAGGGGATGGCATATTTTTGGAACCCGCTGAGCATGACATCCCTATCCAACAGGCACAGCAGAGGGCGAAATGGTGCAGAAATGGACATAGCGTCCCAACGAAGTACAGGTCCCTAGGGTGCCCCACCACCCCTGTGTCCGAGCCTCGCCTGCCACTGTGCTCCAAGGCCAGAATGCATCTTTTTCCGCATTTCGTTATGGGGGGGTTCAGTGGTTTGTTTAGAAAAAAAGCTGCAGCGGCCAAAGTTATGAGTGCGCTTGCTACGACATGCCAAAAAAGTCCCTTCAAGCCTCTTTTTCATGACATAGTTTTTTGCCGCGAGCCAATTCCTGCTGAACCAGTGCAGCATGCATTTTGGCTGGTGGGAACAGCCTTTCCCATCTGGTAGGCCCGGGCTACGATTTTGCGGCTGGTTAAACTGCCAGTACATGGCCCCAGCCTTGTGGAAATTTGTTCATCGCCTACTCCGAAAATTCAACGGCTCGGGCCTACTGGACCACAATGACTGGCTGCGCCAGCCAAAAAAGAAAAAAAGTGCACCGCTGGCGGTTCAGAAAAGTTTGGCATGCGCAGTGCAGCGACTCCGGGCCAGGGTCTACTGGTGTCCGGGCCAGGGTCTACTGATGGTATAACCGGGGCATCAGAGCAGAATCCCTGGGAAAGGGACTTGCGGTTTAGACCACCAATCTGTTGGAGCCTGGACTACTGGATTGCCTCAAGGTCAGGGCGTGCTGGGGGACGCAGCTTTTTTGCCCATCTGCCCAGTAGAGTGCAGCAATATTGTTGCAGTGTGCAGGTGGTATAAGACTGGTGGCGCAGATGCATCTGCACATTTTGGCCAGTTTGTAGAGTTCTAGACCTCACTCTGAAAAAAACGAAATCTGAGCCTGTGGCTTATAGGCAATTTCTGTCCTTTGGAAAACTAGCCAAGAGTTCATTGGTCCATCATATGCCAGTCTTCTACCTCCTCTACCTGTATGTCAATGTTCTCTTTTTGAAAGATTGCCCTCTCTTTACCTGCCTTGTGGCGGGATTGCGACACAAAAGCATCCATTAACAAGCAGGTCATGAGTTCGAAACCTCCCATTACAGGAAAAAGAGGTCTTCTCATTGCAGATGTACACTGGTAGCACAGCCTAGCCATGGGATCTATGCTGATGCGATGGCTGGCAAAGGAAATAAAGCCCTGGTCTGCTTGAAACATATCATTTTGCCTGTGTTAGGACATCACAATACTCGAATTTGAGCTTATCCGTATGCTACCGCTACAGTAGCAGTGGATGTACTTCCCTTGGGCATGGTGGGGAGGCCAGGTTCCATCCAGATGCCCAGATTCTCCGTTTCTGGTTGTTGATCTTCACAATCTAATCTACAGTCAGGAAGGAAGAATCCACACAAGCGGGACCACATCCCTAAGGGCATACTCACACTCGGACCTAATTCCGCACATCCGCAATGAATGCGGAAGGTGCAGAGTCATACAGAATTCCCAAATTCCCTTTCACACATTCAGTGCCCTACTTGCCAGCGGCCTGAGAGGCCGCGGGGCAAGGGGATTTGGGGTCACCTCTGGAGGTGACCGCAAATGCATTATTAATTTATTATTCTTTTCGAGTTCTTTTGTGAAATTGGACAAAAATACAAGGTGAACAATATTGGCTCTTTGTCAATTGCATAGGTGGAAAATGGGCATTTTGTGGTGTTCTGTCTGCGCGCAGTGCGGTCACACGCGCATGTCTTTTCTTTGTGGCCATTCTTCTCTGCAGCTTTTTGTTTAATTTTGAAGGACCACTACCTTTGATGTTTCGGTGGCGGGCCTTGAAATTCGAATCCGGAGGCTGGGAGCCGCCGATGAAAAATATCAGCGGCCACCCGACTCCATTTTTATTTATTTATTTTTTTAGATAACTTCTCAGGAGGGGGTCACTTGAGGAGGTGGTAAGAGCATCCTCCTCAAGTGGCCCCTCTGATGAAGGCTGCCGGCCCCAATTTTTTCAGAGTAGGTTACTTTTGCAACTGGGGTGACAAAGGTAGTAATGGTTTAAACTACCAGTAATTGGCCCAGCTATCGGCCGTGGAAAAAAATAGAGTAGAAACGTTTCTAGTTGGATGAATTTGGGTGCTCCTGTAGTGGCCCGTACGTTTCCTAAAATCATGGCTTGTTTTTTTTTTTTTTTAAGAAACCCTTGGTATCAGGTTGGAGTGCTGATAAGAGCATACACTCCTACCTGACACACTGGGGACTCCGGTCTATTGGTGGGGAGCTGCACCTGCTGGAAAACGGGTCCAGCGTCCCTTGTGTTGCAATACAGATAAAGAAAAGATAAGCACTTGCTGGGAATCGGGCCCAGCATCCCTGTACCTCTTCACCCTCAATAGAGTGGCGCCAGATTGAACATTTAAGCTTTGGTACTAATGAGATAATGGTGACTCTGACTGGTGGTTTAAGAAGAATGAGGACCTTGACTGCTCTGCTCTTGTTTTCGAGCGCGGTGATAGATAGCTTCGCATCTCGCTCCGGCCAGTTTCTTTCTGTTTCAGGGTTTTCGCTCCTCCGCCATTCCTCCGCTGGCCTCCACCTCTCCTGCGCCCTTGTCTCCTTCCACGGGGGCGATGAGAGATTGATTCTCTGTGCATGGGTGGGAAAACAGCAAAATCTGTCACATTTGCTGCCTCCCGCACGGTTGACAAGAGGGAGATTCTCTCTGGACATACCCACACAGGGGTAGCAAACACAGCAAAACTTGCCGCATTTGCTACCCGACGTTTGCCATTTTGCTGTGTTGCGAGTCACACAGGGGTAGCAAATTGGAAAAGACAATGCCCTGATGCCCTGCCACTTGCTAAATGACCCACTTGTGCCGTCACTCAGCAAAAGTAGGCGAGGGATCCCTGCATCTCCCTTCAGTGAGCTCACAAATGCAAAGGAAGAAAAAAACTTGCAAGCACTTCTAGAGGTGCCGGGAAAGTGCTCAGCCCCGCGGCCTTGCAGGCTGCTGATATTTACCTCACCTATTGCCAATTTGATGGAAGGGCAGGCAAAGTGGGACTGCAAAACCATAGCAAATTTTGCTATTTTGCCACAAAAGCCCCTACAGTCTTCCCCAATACGGTCCAACGTTGTGTCTAGATACAGCAATCATATACATGCAGGGGGCAGTGGGGTGAGACTGAAAAGGGAACAAGGAAACCGTAGCCGCGCGGGCACCTAGCGAAGTGGTGAACAGCCTCTTTGCTGTATGTACAGGCGATTGGAGGGTATATAGCAGTTTGTGTGGGCTATAATTGATTTGTTTGTTTGATTTATTCATTAATGTTTGTTCCTTCAGGTGCAGTGAACGTATATTCACCATGAAGACGTCCCCATACATCTGAGTTTCCATGTGTCCTGGTGCGCCTGCTCCAGATGGATGGCATTGATGTATGCTATGGGGCCTTATGACACGTCTACACAGGTATAAGCCATCGCCTAGGTGGCGGCATTCATGCCCCACTGCGCATGATGATGTTTTTTTTTTTTTTTTTTTTTTTTTTTTTTTTTTGAAACTTCGTATGTGGGACAAACCTACTAAGCCAGGTGATAAGAGCAGCCTCCATAAGTACGCCCCAGCGTCGAAGGCTCCATCTATTGGTGGGGAGCTGCACCTGCTGGAAATCAGGTCCAGTGTCCCTATACACTGATATGATGTGTATCGGATGGAAATCGGGTCCAGCGTCCCAATACAGTGATGTGTGGATATGTCATACTGTGCATCCAGTACTATCTATATGCGTTCGTCAATCAATATGTGCCGCATGAAGGGAGAAACCTATGCGCCATATCTACCGTATCTCCCTAAAGAGCAGAGGCATTGGTTGACCTCCTGCCCATGCAGCCCAATCCTATCGATCAATCCAAGACATGAAACCCTAACAGAGATGTGATGTGAGTGAGCTGGAAATCGGGTCCAGCATCCCTATACAATGATGTGTGGAGATGTCATAGTGCACATAGTGCACATCCAATACCGCACGATCAGCATATTGTGTCGTGTGGAACCAAAGTCCCATTCCATCATGTCTGCCATATCTCCGTATTGAGCAGAGGCATTGATTACTTCCCTGCAGCAGGGAAGGATTGAGCGTCTGCCCTTGTAGCCTAACCCTAACGGAAAATGAAAGGCATTCCCATCAAACACCCCGACAGACAATCATCCATCAACCCAACAAACTACCATCGGACACGGAGCAAACAGGTGAACCATACTAAACCCTAAACAGTCCACCTCCGGCCTGAGGGGCGACCAGCACCCCATTTTGATTGAAATTGCGGGCCGGGCAACACCAATCAACATCGACTACCCTACTCCTATCCGCTGTCGGACAACAAGGACATCGAGGAGCAATTGCAGTTCAAGATTGGAGGGGGGAAGGATAGTAAAACACTTTTTTTCAACCCCAATCCCCCCTCCCTTCGAATCGCATCAGATCCCGGCATCTCTCCCACTGTGCTGATGATAATATTGGTTGCACGAACAACTCTGCTGGTCCCACCTCTGCTGCGGTCGTCGTCGCCAATGTAAATATCGTCATTGTCATTATTGTTATTGCCGCTGTAGCCGTTGCCGTCGTCGTCGTCGTCGTCGTCGTCGTCGTCGTCGTTGTTGTTGTTGTTGTTGTTGTTGTTGTTGTTGTTGTTGTTGTATTTGTTGTTGTTGTTGTTGCTGTTGTCATTGTTGTAGCTATTACGTCAGCCCTGACCGCGCCGTCGTCGCTCTCAATATCCTTGATGACGATGTCTCTGTTATTGTCGTTGCTGTCAGTTTTATTCCCGCGGTTGTCATCATCACTACCGCTGTCACTGTTGTTGACATTGTTGATATTGTTGTAGTTGTCATTGTTGTTTTGTTGTTGTTGATGATGCTGTAGCCGCAATTATCTTCATCGCTGCCAGTACCTCTTCCATTCCGGTCTCGCCCGTTGTCATGATCGGCCTCCAATCCGCCCTCCAACCAGTCATCCTTCTCACCCATCTTGCCCATCCCCTGCCGATCCTCCAACATATTGCGTAGATTGTGACCCTTTGTAAAGAGGGCTTTGCAACTTCCCATCATGCCATCCGCCCGCCTCCAGCCGATGTAGGTTCCAAGCTGGGGATCCGGCCCCTCCACCAGCTCCCACATGACGTCCAACATCTCCTGGGTCCTGTCTTCCAACCATTGAACCATAGAGATCGCCACCCCATCGATCTCTGCCCCCTCCTGCCACCACAGAAAGAGCACCCCAACAATCGTCTGCAGTTGCTTGCATCCCTCCTCCATGATAATTAGCCACTCCTCCACTCGATGTTGTAGCTCCCCCACCAAGTCCATCTCTTGCCCAATAAGCTGCGCCACTCACACGGTTCTTCTGAACCACTTGTCAATCTCACGGTTGACGCTACCCCTGCCCACGGGTCGCGGGACATCCACGTCACCAAACAACAGGTGCCACGTGGCAAAGAAACCACATGCACCTATCGGGTGCGTGCATAGGCCTAGCTGTGACGCCAAACCTCACGCCCGACGCGAATTCCTGATCGGAGTGTGAGTGGGCCTGGAAGTGCGAAAGGGAGTGTGCCAAGGATTCTTGGAAAGTGGGGGTGGAGTCCCAGGTTGGAACTGGGATCTCCTGTGGCAAGTTTCAGGGATGTGAATGCAAGAGGATGGGTGCGGATCAGAGTCCTGTTTTACGCTTAGGGAAGCGGGGCTACCACCTCCGTTGGTTCCGTCGCTTGGGTCGGACTCGTACATGGTGGACTGACGGGACACTATGGCTATCTCATTGGCTGCTCATCCGCCGACGCCGAACGTCGCAGGTCTCGGAGTCTGATGCGGCCGGCCTCAGTCGAAGGCTGTGCGCCCGCCGTTCTTCCTCCGAGCGAGTTCCCCGGATGAAGCCGGAGGCTCAGTACTCTGAGACGTGGTCCTGCAAACACTCTGAGCACGGGGTTGGGGCCAGTAAGGAGCGATTGCAAGCCAGGGGACGATGGTTAGGGAGTGATAGGGTAGGATGTGGTGATAGGGAGGGAATTCGACACTAAAGATAATGATCCCGGGTTCCGCGACGACGTGACATGTGTATGGGCTAGAGTAGCTGGGGAGATGGGGGATACGTCCCCAAGCCTGGTCGAGGTCCCACTCTCAAATACGCTCGTTTCCGGTTAAGTAAGGGAAGTTCGGTGGTTCCGCCCTCGATCGCGCTGACGAGCAGGAGCGTTCCCAATATCCCCGGGACTCCCGATCTCCTCACGGTCAGTGACACCAAAAGGGATTTCGAAATTCATGCTATAGGATGGACAAGCATTCAGATATTTGGGAAATTGGTCGTGTCAAGGTTTTGCAGACGCGCGTGTAGGCAACGATCGTCCTTGGTTGGGCCTACACGTGCGTGCACGGGACCTGTCCTTCGATCAGGTGGGCGAAAGCCAACGGCTCAGGGATGGTTCGTCCTATAGTGAGACGAACATCTAATCATCTAACATATGTAACTGATTCAAACACAGATAGAATCGCACCTAGCATCCATGCATCTAGCTTACATACAGACAGAAGGGATCGAAGATCCTTATGCGACAATTCTTTGGCCAACCAGCCCAGAGATCACACAAGACTTGATTGCTGGTAACCAATCAATCAGTTTCGCTGATTCAAAAAGCCAGAGAAGGGGAGTGGGGAAGACGACCACACATCAATCTCTTGAGAAGAAATAAAGGAAAAATCCGAGATGCCGATCCAGAAAGGACAAGGGCGGCTTGCGCCGTATATCAAAATTGTTGGAAGAATAGGAGAAGAACCAAAATTAGTCGGAGGGATAGAAGAAGAACCCCACCACACACCTCCCATCCCCCCCCCCCTCTTTCTCTCTCTCTCTCTCTCTCTCTCTCTCTCTCTCTCTCTCTCTCTCTCTCTCTCTCTCTCGGCGCGGGCAGTCCGTCGCCTCGCACCCACACAGAGTTGTCACCCCGCTTGAATCGAGCATGCAAGCTAGGTTCGCCCGTGCGCCACAGTCCGTCGCAGCCCCACATCAACCCCACATGCCCAGCATCAACTCGTCAGATCGCCCAACTCTCTACTCACCTTCCAACTCTTGCTCGTTAGCCGATCCTCTCGACCGCGCTAACTCCCAAAATTCTTAGAGAGCGAGTTAATCGCGCTTGCAAAATTTATAGCATGCATGCTCACGCGAGATAGCCAGGATTGTGTTTGAGTAGGGGGGGGGGGCAGGAAGAAGGAAGGAAGTGGCTACGACTGCATGGCCAGGCCGTGGCGTGGGGGACGTAGCCTCACTCCACACATCGATCCGGTCATGCAAGCATTCAGGCCAATAGGACAGAGGAAGAAGTACGCGCACACAGGAGCGCCACAAAAAATATCAAGAATGAGAGGATTACAGTTGCAATTATGCTCGCCAAAACAAAAATTATACTTACATGCAAGGATTTAGGCACGAAAAAGTCAGAACACAGATCCTGACGCGACAAAGCGTGCGCAAGCAAGAAGCGTCGTGCAACAAGAATTGAGATGCGTCGAAATTCCTAATCTAAATCCTAATTGCAAAAATAAATTTCGAATGAAGCAAATTCCGAGAGCCCACGGGGGCTCGACATCAGTTGAAAATTCAAAAAGATTTTCTCACGACGATCACGCCAAAATTCTCATTTCCCACAGGAGGATAAGAAAGAAGTTATGACAACAATTATCTTTCGCGCTCGCTAAGGCGCGATCAGCTACCAACTGTTAGAAGATTATCCCGGCCTCGATTTCAAGAAGAAAAACAAGAAAAACAAGGGCACCCATGGAATCCGGCGAGCCCTCCCGATTCAATCCCCGAAGTAGCCTTGAGCAGAAAATTGCGTGGTTGCAAAAAACAGTTCGTCACATATGTGATGCCCAAGGGGTTCCAATCTTGAGCAAGCTCCTGCTTGCTCACCCAATCATCCGTCGATCTCATGAGAGAACACCAGTGATCGTCGTGGAGCCGACACGTGCCACTTACCGTGAGATGAGCGTGTGGAAGTCATCCGGGTGGCACCCGCGAACTCCGATCTTGGAGATTGCCGGGGAAAGGTAGCCTTATGAAAGGCGGGGGAGGAGGAGGGTGAATTTGCGGGAGGGGTGGCAGAAAGCGACGGAGCTGCCGATCTCCAACGAGGAGTCGGGTGTAGTGGACGGTATGATGGATGTGAGGGAAACGATGATCTTGATGTGGGAGTGAAGCGAGGTAATCGGGATAGAGGGTATAAAGGGTGCGGGGAATCGTGGCGCGAAAACTCTCATACTCTTCGCAAGCGGGGATGGTACCCGCGATTATGCAATAAACCTCTATATTATTGTATTCCTTCCATGCCGTGCTAAAAAGAAGGATGTGGAAGGGAAAAAAAGTTACGAGAGAGCGAGTGGTGGCGTGTGGGAAGACGGTGGCGATGAGGCGGGTAGAGTAGAGTTGATGGAAGAGGGAAGGTGGGAAGGGATGCCAGTTAGAAGGGAACGGAAGGTGGCCCGCGAGTTGATGAAGGGTGAGGTAATCAAGGGGATGGTGGGATAATGACCGGGGACGACGCCCGAGCGCCCGCATCTCCACGTATGCGAACGGTGGGATGTGGTGGTGGAAAGGATTGAGCCAGCGAAAAACTTTTTCTACGGCGTCTGCTTCTGGATCCGTCCGCGGTGGCGACGCCATCTCCTCCGGACCCCTTCTGTGGTGACTCTGGATTGTGCGCCGGATCACCTTGTAGTAGCTGCGCGGCTGGTCCGTCCGACTCTTCCACTGGCCGCTTTCCTTCTGCCTTTTCCCGCCTCCTCTGAGTTGCGGCTTCGTCTTCCTCCTCACTCCGTTCGTTCGAACTGTCCGATTCGTCCGACTCACTTTCTTCCAGCTCGCCCTCCTTAGACTCGTTGTAATCGGGGTCGTTCTCTCTTCCTCTACCTCTTCGTCGTTGGTTTCTCCTTCCACCTCCACTCTTCGAGTGATCGGATCCCACAAGGTGAGATCGGTCTCATCAAAGACCAGGTAATGGCCTGAAGAGGGGTAGTAGCAGTTGTCATCGTCGAGCTCCGTACACGTGGACCACAACAGATGTGGTACCAACGTATGGGTGAGCACCCCCGGTGTGGACCGCTCGTCACAGCGCGAAAGGATATCCAAAGGGAGATCGTCCAGGAGCTGCGCCAAAAACATCAGGATCTCGCTTGTGATTGGCTCCAAATGGTCGTCCCTCACCTTTCCGAATAGAATCCCCAACAGCTCCCCATGCGTGTCCGTTCTCCACTCTTGAATTAGCAACAGCTCCACGTCATCATCAGGGACTTCGTCTTCTTCGTCCTTATCGGCCTGCTCTGCCCAATGGAACACCACCTCCAGGAGACAGAAGCTGAGCGCGACGTACGCATTCCACCACTCTGCCCACTTGCCGGCATCAAGGGTCGGCACGTCCAATTGCCTGATCCGAAAAGAGAGAGGGACGTCCGTAGCGGACTGCCAGATGGCAAAAGGTAGGGAGATCAGATGGAAACCCGAATGTCGAGAGGCGGTGCCGATTCATTGACGCGGCGCAAAGGGAAGAAGCTCCAGGAGGATGACCTCCAGCGTAGTGAGAGAGAGTCCGAGCTGGTTGTGGTCGATGTCGTTGGTGGGGTCGATCCAATCGCCCGGTTGAGCTAACAGCTAGACCCATGCATCCTCGAGGTCTCGCACCCAGAGTCGTAGCCGTCAGAGGGCGCCTGTATGAGCTGACGGATGCAACGTCGTAAGATCGCCGGTGAATGCGGCGATCATTGTCATTGTGGCTGACGCCTGATGGAGACAGCCACAGAAAAGCCAGCACCACGGCCAACGTCCTCGTTCGATCGCTGGTCCGCGCAAACCGGAATTCCGTCGTCGTGTGGATGGCCGCCGTACTAAAGAAAGTCGCGAAACGGAGGAGATCAGGACTCAATCGCGCTCGCTGTACTGGCCGGATCGACGAAATATGCCCCTCGGCCTCGGGTTTCATTAGACACTCGTTGATGACCTGCTTGGTAGAAAAGCTTATGGCGATGGGGGAGGAGGTAAAGACGAAGGCTGAGAGGAAGGAGAATCAGAGTAGTTGAGTTCCAGATTGTCGCCTTCCTCTTCAGAATCGAAGGACGACGTAGATGATGGGGGAGAAGGAGAAGGAGGTAAGGGACGAAGATAGGACATGTGTCGAATGATCGGTCAAGCAGATCGGCTTCCCGAGACCTCCGCCGCAAGCCGCATCATGCTCACTCGGCTAGGAGCGAGCTCGACTACGTGAAATTGCCCGAAGAATCGTGGTGCTAACTTGCCCTGGTGAGCACATTTCCTTACCTGCATTATGTCCCCTAATTTATACTGGGGCCGAGGCCCAATATTCCCATTTAGGGCCTCATAGCTCCGGACCTGTCATTCGTGGGCCATTTCGGTCATCCGCTGTCTTTTTCGGGCTAATCAGGGAAGGGCTAGCTCCGGACCTGTCGTCCGTGGGCCATTTCGGTCATCCGCTGTCTTTTTTGGGCTAACCGGGGGAGGGCTTTTTCCATCAATTCTAGGTGGCGCTGAGATTTGCCTTTGACCGTTGCCCTCGTGGTCCGTCGCGCAAGCCTCGTCTCGTCGTTCAGGCTTAGCAGAGCTACGCAGGCCAGACTATTAGCACCGATTGCTATTCCTGTAAAACTGTTTTCTGCAATTGGTGTATCAAGTATTCTCAAATTACCATATTTTTCAAAAAAAACTTTTGTTACTTTATAAGATCCTCCATAATGTCCGTAACTGAAAAAGGGTCAGGCCGGTGGATTCATGGGGTGCCCCTCGGTGGATAGCTAAGATATGGTCTACGATATCGGACCAAGGCCTCGTGTCCTGAGCCGCGATATTTCGCCGCAGAGCTGTCTTAATCGCATTCTCTACCAGTCCGTTCGATTGCGACATATGGGGGGCCGTATTGCGAATAGAGACACCATGTACGACTAGGCTCCTTAAGAATTCTCCTCAAAATCCTGCCCCGTCGTCCGTTAGGATTTCCTCGGTGTCCTGATGCATTCCGAGGAAGCGGTTGATATATCGCACAATTTTCGTCGTTTGTCGCGTTTTACAGGGGTAGGCCTCGATCCATTCAAGAAATGATCCTCGAATACCAGAAGAACTGAATATTCGCAGCTATTCGGTCCAGAGGGTATGACAATATCCGTCGTATCCACGCTAACCATTTGGAACGACCGCTCGACTACAGCGGGCACTATCGATCTGGGCGGCTGAATGGTGTCTTCTCCTCCGCGCAGACCGGACAATTTTTAACGATGAATTTAACATCGTCTCAGATATTGAAGCAATACCATTCCTTTTTGTCAATTGCTGACTCTGTGATCCTGACGACAAAGTGAGCGGCGGTTTCTTCGTGGGCCGACTTAACCCAGGCGTACCTCATGAACGGATGAGGCACCGACTTCCAAATCCCTCTACCATCAGTCTTTCATTTTTCTAACCGTCCATCGTTCCATTGGTAATCCCGTGTCCCCCCGTTAGCCCGCCTCCGATCTTCCTTGGCGAATTCTCGGAGGGAGTTCCCGACCATTGTGGCTATCAAAACGAGATTTGTCCATACTTCCACCCATCGAAATTAGCGTGTCTTTTGTAACCCTTCGGACGTGGCTTCGAGGAATCGAGCCTCTGTCGGGATTTTATCGGTTCGACAAAAGGGACATAATCAGGCTTTATCCGTGTTCCTGTATTGGATACAAGAGCCGCAGGCCCGAGAGACACACCGTTCACAATCTACCCACTCGACATACCCTTCCCCACTAGGACGCATAGGAACCGAATAGACTCGCGATATTGCTTCACAAAAATAACAGAATTTATCAGGCAAGGAAAGAAGAGAAGAAGATGAGAGGGGAGAGAGGGGGCTTCTAGAGTTACCTTCTCCACCCATCGCCATCGTATCCACGTGTCACTTCCTGGCGGTTCGGGGGAGAATGGCCACTCCGCCGTACGGGGGTCCCTTGGCTGGCTCCGACTCCTTCCATGGAGTCATCTCTTCACCTTTGGCCACCTTGCTTGGCCGATGCAACCGTGTCAATCCGTCAACGTTCCCGTGCTTTTCTGTCTTTCGATTTGTCAAAGTCGTATTCTTGTAGCTGGACAGCCCATCGCCCAATCATGCTCGTATAGTCAGTAAACCTCTTGAGAGTCAGCAGGGGCTTGTGATCCGTGACGAGGAGGAACTTTTGTCCGTATAGACACGGATGGAAGTGCTGAATTCCCCAAACAACCGCGTAACACTCGCCTTGAGGGGCCAAATCGTTCCTTCTTTTGACAGGTACAGTTCGCGAGGCATATCCGATGATGTGTTCGGGGCCGTCCTTCCCCTTTTGGGCCAAAATAGCGGAGATCGCCTCAGGCTGCCAGTCTGTAATGAGGATGAATTGCTTACCAGGATTGGTCCGAATCAAAATAGGTGCAAAGGCGAAGACCTCCTTCAAAGTGACAAAGGCCTGTTTGCACTTCGCGTCCCACTTCTTTGGCTGGTCTTTCCATAGAAGGTTTGTCAGAGGCCGAGCAATCGCCGCGAAGCCTTTGATAAACCTCCGGTAGTACAAGGCCAACCCCAGAAAGGCTCGAACCTACGTCAGTGACGTAGGCGTGGGAGCTTCTCGAACCGCCTCGACTTTTCTCGAAATTTGGCCTCAAGCCCCCTTGGGTCACCACGTACCCTAGGAACGAGATCTCTGAAAGAAAGAACTCACTCTTCTCCAGTGCGATCTTGAACCCAACATCTCGCAACGCCCCAACGTCCATTCGATGTGCTGAGTGTGTTCGTGAAATGATTCCCAATACACCAGGATATCGTTCATGTACACAATGACGCAAAAGTTGATCATTCCCTGGGTCAGTCTGGTCTTGTTGATGGAGTTATGAAATGTGACGTTCACCGCTCTCTGAAAAGTAGCCGGTGCATTGCATATTCCCATAGGGCAACTAACCCACTGTCACGTGCCTTCGAACATTACGAACGCCATTTTTGGTCGATCCTCCTTCTTAACTAGGATATGACGGAACCCATGACATATATCAAACTTACTGAAATAATTAGCACACCCAATCACATCCAACAAATCATCAATTCGGGGAAGGGGGAACACATCTTTGATCGTGATGTCATTAAACTTTCTATAATCAATGCATATGCGGATCGACCCGTTTTTCTTTGGAACTAGAACTACGGGGAATGACCATGGTCCAGTAGCTGGCTCAATCCATCCGTTAGCTTCGAATTCCCTGATTCGTTTCAGCGCCGTCCTTCATTGTGCGAGGGAGTATTGGTATCGACGGTATGGCTTGCAGTGGATTGGTGGGTGCGTTCCGGTTTGGATTTCGTGCTGAATAACTAACGACAACCCGATATCTGTGTCCATGACGCTAGTCGCCCCTTGATATTCGGTCACGATATCTGCAATTAATCGATGCGTTTCGTCGGGCACGTACTGGGGCACATATAGTTCATAAAGCTTTCCATGTTTGTTACCCGTCACTTGTTTCGTGCCTACTTTACTACCGTTCCTTGACGGACGAACTGAAATAAATGAGTTGTTCGATCGCCAGGAGAACACCGTGGCGACCATCTGGGCGTCTCCTTCCCGGATTGCCACGTGTTTTTCCGGTGTTATGCCGTCATTGATGTCCTGCAAGCTTAATGCTTTCTCGACGATCTTGATCCCAAGTTCATAAGGGTTGCCGCGCCCAGAGGGTTCCAAAGCTCCATCCTCGGCGCCTTGTCACAACAATCGAACCTCTTTCCATGTAGAGAGCAGGGAACGAGGTAGTTCCGTAATGTCGCAGAATGCTTTCTTGTCACTGTATCTCGAGAGAAGTGGGGTGGTGGATTCGTATAGGGTCCGAGGGGTTTCCAAAGAATCGGCCATTCGCGATACTTGCACGAGTGGTTTCCCTAAGATTAGAGCTCGCGTCCATTGGAGGTTTCTTTCCGTAAGGACGGATGTTTTTGTTGTTTTCTGCCGAACGGGGTAGCGAGTCAGTTGGTGCGCCATGTCCCAGATCTCGGGGTCCGCTTCGTTCTCGCTCTCAAGGGAGCTATGTGACAGCTTTGGTTCTTTTCCCTTCTGGTCCGTTTCTTTGAAGGGTCCCCTCCAGGTGATCACATGGAGTGGTTCACCGTTCTCGAGGAGAGTTTTCCAGGTTGTAGGGAGCGTAGTTCGAAGAGTTAAACGCATCCGGATGACGTAGGGTTTCCCGCCCGTATTCTGAAGAATGATCGATCACCTTTCGAAATTGAGATTGACTCGTAGTGCGGCAAGGGTCGGTGATCCCAAAAGAACACACGTATGTGTTTACGTCTAATACCACAACATCTCTCAACGCGTGAACTTTTCCTAATCGAAACGCAACATTTGTCATCCTTCCCACCACCTTTATCTTTTCCTCATTGGCGGAGACAAGGTGGTCTCCTTCTGCTAACGGGATCAGATCCTTTCTTTTTCCTGCCCGTTCCACGACCCTCAAGGAAATGACTAGGACGTCGACCCCTAAGTCGAAAATAGCATTGTACGGGTTTCCCCAGACTTCTATGTCGCATTTCGCGGATTTCCATGGAATGGCCTTAATGCGTTGAAAATGATCATATTTTCGGATGAGCCCTAACCGTATCAGGTCTGAGGTGCTGGGGACATCGGGTTTGTCTTCGCAAGCGGTGGCTTTCCCTTTGATGGCTTGCTTGCTTAGCGAGGGCAAAACGTTTTCAGTTTGCCTTGCAATGCTGCAACATTCGTTCATTCGCTTGTTCCGATATGGATAGCCGGTGTCCAATAGGCAAGGGGATTCGATGATCCAGGGATCATATTATATTCAGGACATCAATTTCTCCCATTACTAAGGCATGGCTGCCCAATTCCATTTCTCCGGGGGACGGTCTCCATTCCGTTACTTCCCGTTCCTCATTCGCGAGGCGGATGGTTATGATCATTCCCAACCCTGGGTAGCCCAGCGAGATGTATTGGTCAAGCGGGATAAGTTCCGCAACTTCTTCAGTGGTGACTATCGCACTCCCCCCTTCTTCAGTGGTGCCCACAGCCTAGATCACCGACCACAGCCTGAGCGGGGGCTGTTGCTTGTGTTATGGGCGCATCTCGGACGACAATAGGGCCGCATCAATCTCATCATAGATTCTATCTGGGCATTATGCTCACACCGTTCTTTCTTGCTTTCTTGCATCGAGCTAACTAGTGTTCGAGTAAGCTCCATTATGGCGTTTGACTCACTTGGTTTCGCGGGAGGATTTGGGGGAGGCGCAGCTGGGGGAGGTGAAGGCGTGACCATCACAGTCAGTCTCGTGGTTGTGTATGGTATCAATCTCTTAGCTACAACGTGTTCTAGAGAAGTGACGGGGCCGAAGATGAAGGCCATGTTTTCAAATTTGTTTTCGAGCGCAGCTAACTCGGCCTTCGCTCTGACCAATTCGGAAGAGTCCCCTTCCTTGGCGTGGTCTTCCCCTACTAAGAAGCTAGCGGCAAACTTTTTCTCCATTTCTTGCTCAGCATCCATGATCTGTCGCATGGTGTGGTTGATTGGGGAGAACTGCTTTCGCAATTTTGCCCTCATTGTACGACTCCGAAGCCCATCCATGAACAAATATTTCCTGATATTTTCGCCCCGTTCTAACTTAACAAACAACTATAGAACCTACTGCGGTATTCAGTGATGGATTCGAGGGGCTTCTGGACTCTATCTTTAATCATAAAGAAGGCCTGCTCAGGGTGGATGTAATCAAATCGGTTTAAGAAGTCCCTTTCGAAGGTCGGGAAATCTACCCAAACGTAAGTGGTAAACCAATGGTGCGCATCCCCTCCCAACCTGGCGAGGATGTTGATCTTGGCCTCATCATTGTCGTATTGTTGTGCACGCAGTGTGACTAGCCATGCTCCGGCCAGATGATGTGCGGGGTCAAAGAGGTATAGATCAGGCGGGGTCGCCGGTGCGCGTGCTAGGGGGGCTGGGGCCCCACCAGCGTTTGGTGCCAGATTGGCAATCATATTGGTGGCCTCCCGACCTGCCGATCTAATCCTGGTTATTACAGGGTCGCGTCGTGACGCGTTCCTCTGCCTAGGACACACTCTGTTTTCCAGATCGTCCCTTATAGCCTACCTGATTGGCAATCTCTGGGCCTGCCACGTGTCGGCTCCGATACCAACCTCACGCCCGACGCGACTTCCTGATCGGAGTGTGAGTGGGCCTGGAAGTGCGAAAGGGGGTGTGCCAAGGATTTTTGGAAAGTGGGGGTGGAGTCCCAGGTCGGCACAAGGATCTCCTGTGACAAGTTTCAGGGATGCGAATGCAAGAGGATGGGTGCTGATCGGAGTCATGTTTTATGCTTAGGGAAGCGGGGGTACCGCCTCCGTTGGTTCCGTCGCCTGGGTCGGATTCGTGCATGGTGGACTGACCGGACACTATGGCTATCTCATTGGCTGATCATATGCTGGCGCCGAACGTCGCAGGGCTCGAGATTCGAGAAATGGTCGACAAATACTTGTAGCACTGAATACTCGCAACTATTAGGGCCAGGGGGCACCACTATGTCGGTAGTGTCCATGCTCACTCTTTGAAATGGTTGTTCAACAACCGTGGGCACTATCGACCTTGGCGGCTGAATCGGCGGTTTATTAATGGCGCAGACTTGACAGTTGGCGACGATGTATTTCACATCGGCGCGGATATTGGACCAATACCACTCATTTTTGTCGATAGCGGACTCCGTGATTCGTACGGCAAAATGAGCCGCAGTTTCTTCGTGGGCTGTCTTAACCCAGTCATACCGCATGAACGGATGCGGCACTACCATCCAAATCCCACTGTCACCCGTTTTCCGTTTTTCTAATTTACCCTCTACCCATCGATAGTCCCGAGCCCTTTCGTTGGCCCTCCTCCGATCTTCTTTGGTGAAATCCTGAAGGGGGTTACCTACGAGGGTGGCAATTAAGGCAATATCCATCCATACTTCGGCCCTTCTAAACTTTCGGGTTTTTTCCAATCCTTCTTACGTGGCATCAAAAAATCGAGCCTCGATAGGAATCTTGTCGGTCCGGCACAAGGGGCACAACCATGGTCTACTTTCGCTTCTGTATTGGATGCACGAGCCATGGGCTCGTGCAACACACTGTCGGCAATCTATCCAATCCGCATACCCCTCCTCGTTAGGACGCATGGGGACCGAATATACGCGGGAAATAGCTTCGCAAAAATAGCAAAATTTGTCGAGCAGGGAGAGGAGAGACGAAGAGGAAGGGGAAAAGAGAGGGATAGTGGGGTTACCTCCATCAACCATCATCGCCGTTTTTCTTCTTGCCACGTGGAAAAACTGCCACTTGTCCATATTTCGGCTCGTTGGTCAAATCCGACTCCTTCCACGGTGTAATTTCCTCACCCTTTGGAACCTTGGTAGGCCGGTGCAGACGTGTCAGCCCGTCCACGTTGCCGTGTCGCTCTGTCTTTCGATAGACGATATCGAAATCGTATTCTTGTAATCGCACCGCCCAATGGCCAATCATGCCCATGTAGTTGGTGAGTTTCTTCAGCGCCAGCAGAGGCTCGTGATCCGTTACGAGGCGAAACTTCTGTCCATAGAGATACGGATGGAAGTGTTGGATTCCCCAAACTACTGCATAGCACTCACCCTGAGGTGCGGAGTCGTTTCTTCGTTCGTCCGGTACGGTTCGTGACGCGTACTCGATGACGTGTTCGCGACCATCGTTCCCCTTCTGTGCGAAAATAGCGGAAATAGCTTCCGGTTGCCAGTCCGTGATGAGAATGAACTGTTTCGAGGGGTCCAGTCGAATCAAAATAGGGGCCATTGCCAGAGCGTCCTTGAGAGTTGCAAAAGCCTGTTGGCACTCCGCGTCCCAGCGGAGGGGCTGACCCTTCCGTAACAAATTCGTTAGTGGTCGTGCAATCGCGGCGAAGCCCTTGATGAAGCGCCGGTAATACGACGCTAGTCCCAAGAAGGCTCGAACCTGCGTTAGTGACGTAGGAACCGAAGCTTCCTTTACCGCCACAACTTTTCTCAAATCTGTCCACAGTCCTCCACGTGTCACGACATAGCCCAAGAACGAAATTTCCGAGAGGAAAAATTCGCTCTTCTCAAGCGCAATTTTGAACCCCGCGTCTCTCAATGCACCCAATGTCCATTCGATGTGTTGCGCGTGCCCGTGATAGGTTTCTGAGTAGACCAGGATGTCATCCATGTACACGATCACGCAGAAGTTGATCATCCCTTGCGTCAGCCGTGTCTTGTTGACGAAGTTCTGGAACGTCATGTTCATCGCTCGCTAAAATGTGGCAGGCGCATTGCAAATCCCCATCGGACACCGAACCCACTGCCACGTGCCCTTAAACAACACAAAGGCCGTTTTCGGTCGATCTTCTTCCCTTACCAGAATATGATGGAAGCCATGCCGGATATCAAACTTGCTGAAATAATTAGCGCACCCAATCGCATCCAACAAATCGTCAATCCGGGGGAGGGGATACACATCCTTGATCGTGATTTCATTCAGCTTGCGATAATGAATGCAAATGTGAATCGCCCCGTTTTTCTTCAGCACTAATACTACGGGAAAGGACCAAGGTCCGGTAGCAGGTTCAATCCAACCACTGGCCTCGAACTCCCAAATTCGTTCGAGAGCCTTTTTGCGTTCAATCAAGGAATAACGATAAGGTTTGCAATGAATTGGGGGTTGATTTTCTGTCTGAATTTCATGTTGGATTACTAATGACAACCCGATGTCAGTGTCTGACACACTAATTGCTCCTTGGTGCTCCTTGGTATCCCGTTAGAATATCCGCAATTACCCGGTGGATTTGATTCGGCACATATTGTGGAACGTGCAGTTTGAAAAGTTGGTCCCAGATCCGCACGTCAATCTGTTTCGTGTTCGCCTGTTTTGTCGAATCGGGTGGAGGCGCCGAGATGAATGAATGATCCGATCGCCAGGAGAATACCGTGGCCATCATCTGAGCATCTTCTTCTCAGATTGCCACGTGTCCTTCCCGGGTAATCCCGTCACAAACATCCTGCCACGACACTTCCTTAGTTGCGATTTTTATCCCCAGTTCGTCTGTTTCTGCTTCTAAACGCCCAGGGGGTTCCATAGAGCTTCCTTCCGCCCCCGAGCGCAACAATCTCACTTCTTTAGCCGATGTTAGTACAGACTTAGGTAATTCCGTAATGTCGCAAAAATGCTTTTTGTCGCTGTACCTGGCGAGGAGAGGGGTGATCCCTTCGTACAGAGTTTGAGGGGGTTCCAAAGAGTTGACCATCCTCGAAATCTGCACGAGGGACTCTCCCAAGATCATCGCCTTGGTCCTTTGAATTTTTCGGTTGGTCAGTTGCATCGTTCTCGCTATCGTTTTGGTTGGCGGATAGTAAACGCGTTGTCGTACCAATTTCAAGATCTCCGGATCATCTTCGTCACTGTTTTCCGCATCATCAGTTGATGGCTCCCCTTTTGCGGGTTTATCCCAGGAGATCATGCGGAGAGTCCCCGCCATCATCGGGGAAACCCGCGGAACCTCGTTAATAGTAGTGCGAAGGGTCAATCACATGGGCACCGCGTAGGGTTTTCCTCCTGTATTTCGGAGGACGATCGATCGTCGTTCGAAATCCAGGTTTGCTCGTAACGCCACAAGAGCAGGAAGTCCGAAAAGAACGTCGTACGTATTAACATCTAGTACTACAACATCCTCAAGCGAGTGTACTTTTCCTAATCGGAAGGCAACATTGGTCATTCTCCCCACAATTTTAATCTTTTCCTCATCTGCCGAAACGAGTTGATCTTTCTCGGTCAGCATGATCAGAACGTTCTTTCTTCCTGCCCTCTCGACCACTCTTAGCGAAATAGCCAACACAATTGCTTCTGAGTCTATAATCGCGTTGTAAGGAATTCCCCAAATTTCAATATCACATTCTGCAGATTTCCACGGAATCGGTTTAATCCGTAAGGAATGATCGTTTTTCTAAATTAATCCTACCCGTATCGGATCCGGAGTGCTTGTTGGGTTTTCTTCCGACGCGGGGCCTTTGGCTTTTCCGTTCGGTGCTCGGGCGAGAGCGAATCGTTTTCGATTCGCTTTCCAGTGCTGTAACATTCGCTCGTTGGCTTGTTCGGAGATTGAGAGTAGACCGATCGGAAGGGGAATCCGATGGTCCAGGGCTCGGATGATATTTAGTACATCGATCTCTCCTGTGACGAAGGTGGGTCCTCCCGACTCCATTTCTCCTAAGGATGATCGCCACTCCGCGACCTCTTTCTGTTCTGGCGCTGGTCTGATTGTTCCGATCATTCCTAGCCCAGGGTATCCCAACGACACATACTGATCTAGCGGAATTAGCTCAGCGGCCTCCTCCGTGGTGGCCAGGGCACTTCCTCCATCCTCTACTTCTTCCATCAAGGCTCCGACTCGTCCAGGTCCATCGGCGATGGGGGGCGCAGCCATAGGTGCGACTCCGATCCGCAGTTGCGGGGATCGGTGGGGGCAATCACGGGCTAGATGTCCGGGCTGATGACAGACATAACAGACATTCAGATTGTTCGCAGCTCCTCCGAGAGTCGGCGCAGGGGCTAGTCCTTGTTGCATTGGAGGGGCACACACCGCAATAGGTCGCATGTTCCTCATCATGGCTTCCAACCGAGCATTGTGCTCTCGCTGTTCCTTTTTGCTTTCTTGGATCAAACTAATCAAAGTTTTGGTCAATTTGAAAATGGTCACGGATTCGTTCGATCGTAGGGGAGCCTCAACCGGCGGTGGGGGTAATGCCCTGACGGGCGGGGGCATCATAGGAGCAGAGATGCTCGGAGTCTCGCTTAGGATTACTCGTTTGGGGCCTATCTGTTCCATATAAGTGTCAGGTCCTGATACAAATCCCATATTCTCAAATTTGTTCTGCAAAGCAGCCAGTTCTGCTCTCGCTCGTACGAGCTCGGTCAAATCTCCGTCTTTAGGGTAGTCTTCTCCTTCCAGGAAGTTCGCTGCGAACTTCCGTTCCATTTCTTCCACGGCAGCCATAATTTGTTGTAGCGTATGAGTGATGGGGGAAAATTGATTTCGCAACTTAGTCCTTATTGTTCGACTGCGGAGTCCGTCAATGAACAGGTCTCTCCCTACTTGCTCACCTCGCTCAGTTTTTACGAACATCTTGTAGAACCGGTTTCGATATTCCGCAACGGATTCGAGCGGTTTTTGCACTCGGTCCTTGATCATGTACAATGCCTGCTCAGGGTGAACATAATCAAATCGGTTCATGAAATCCCGTTCGAAGGTCGGGAGATCCACCCATACATAGGTACTATACCAATGATGAGCGTCTCCTCCCATCCGAGCCGGAATGTTGATCTGTGCTTCGTGATCATCGTACTGCTGTGCTCTAAGCGTGGCGAGCCGTGCTCCTGCGAGATGGTGCGCCGGATCAAATAGATAGAGATTTGGTGGCGACATGGGAGCTCGTGCACATGAGGCAGGTTGATTAGGTGGATTAACATTTTATTGTGGAACCGGATTTTGCACGTTGGCAGCCATATTGGCTGCTCGTCAGTTAGCCGCTCTGCTTCTGGTGACTATAGGGTCGCGTCTAGGCGCGTTCCGAGGGCAAGGTCGCCCACGGTTAGCCAGGTCGCCTAATTAACGTGCTATCAATCGTAAGACCCTAGCCACGTGTCGGGCTCCGATACCAACCTCACGCCCAGCGCGACTTCCTGATCGGAGTGGAGTTTGGGCCTGGAAGTGCGAAAAGGGGTGTGCCAAGGATTTTTGGGGAACGTGGGGGAGTCTTAAGGGTATGAATGCAATTAGGCGAGCGTGCTCAAGGGACTCATGGTCCGCTGGGGCCGGGGCACTGTGGGCGACGGGTTGCGGAAAAATTCCTTCGTGGCGGAGGTGGTCCTGAAAAGTTAGGCCGTCGGGGGCCGCCACGCGGCGCAGGAAGCCTCGTACCTAAATTGGGCCTCTGAAATTCCGGAGTGTTATACGCACTGTTGCGTCTGCAGTTCACGCAAAACGTATTAGGCCAATAGGGGGCTATGGCGTGCTATGGAACGACACTGAGTTGATGATACGGGAGAACGAGGCGGAAGGGAGGGAAACTGGTGGCGATCTCAACGAATCCTGGGTGAGTGAAGTAGTAGGTGTGGTCGGGGGAAGGGAAATCGGAGCACCGAGGGTCGCTAGTGGTAGCACAGTGGAATTCCCACGGACATAACTGATTCTCTGTGTGACAGGGGTATCGTGTCCTTATGAGCTCGTTTATTATAGGGGTGAAATAGTCCGGGTCGTAGGACGAGTCTGAGTTCCAAGATCGCGTCATGGTGCCATTGTCGGTGGGATAGCGCGGGCCGGGTTTCCGTCACCGCGTACGAGCACGTGTGGGACAGGCCGACTGAGTGACGCCTCGGCGTGCCCGTACGGGATGATGGTTCCGCCGTGACTCCTTTCTAGGGGAGCGAGCCGTCGCACAGGAATGCGTGTAAGGGCACGACTTGGATCGCGTTTACCCATGTTCTCGCGCGGCGTTCGCGGTTTAATTGTTTCGGATTATGCAAGATACAACCATATCACACCCCTCATCGCGAGATAAGCAAAATCGAGGACAAAATCGCTATCAAGACCATATTCATATCCCATCTGCAACTGCATCATGTGTGGGCAAAGATTTGACACAAACGAAAGGCAAGGACAGGGATCCTCGACAAAAAGATATACAAACAGGCATAACGTCCACACATCTACCTATTCATACATCCATACATTCGATAATCATATGTATAATGCAATCGGGACGGACATAGCAAAGACAATGTGAGCGAAAACCCAGGCCCAAATCTCAGAAAGCCGAAACGAAAATAAGAACGGGCAAACTACTCGGAGCCGCAATCAAAATGTATGTACACAGATGAAGAGGGGGAAGAGACAAAGAAACAGCAAATCCACGTCCATCGACCTCAACTCTCTCTTCCTCTCTCTCCGATGTGGACAGTCCGTCGCCACGCACCAACCCACGAAGTTGTCACCCCGCTTAGTCCTCCCGCACCCGTCGGATTCGCCCGTGCCCATAGTCCGTCGTGGTCCACGTCAATCCCGCGCGTTCGGCACCAGCCCGTCGGATCGCCCAACTCCCACTCTACTCACCTCTTACTTTGCTCGTGTGCCGACCCTTCCTGATCGCGCAAACCCGAGCTTCCAACAACGGGTTCAGAGAGCTGACTAATCGCGCAGCCGAAATTTATAGCGTGCATGCATGCGCGAAGAACATGGAATTTCCAAGACTTAGAGTGAAGATTAGAGAGGGAGCACCTGCGTTT